GCAGAATTTGGGTTAAATCATCATCATCATCATTGTCGACGAGGCCAGCACCTCTCAACTGCTGTCTTCATGACCACGCCTCCCCCCCCCAAACCCCCCACCCATCCCCCCTACCCCCCACCCACGATTCTCCACCTTTTCAAGGGAAGCAGCAGGGTGGCACAGCAAGAAGCTCCCGGGTTCATTTCCCGACTTTGCCGTGTGGAGTTTGTGTTCTCTACCGGTTCTGCATGGGTGTCCTACTGGTCCCCCCCCCCTCTCCTCTCCCGCCCCCCCATAACTAAACAAAACTTACAATGTCAGCCTCGGTTCAAATTTTTGGCACAAATCGGAAAAATTAACCACAAATTACTCACGGAGCATTCATAACCACCACCCATCCAGCGTCGCCGAGCCAGCTGTTGGGTTGCCGCGTGACACGCAGGGACAGCTGCCAGTAGGGGGACCTGCGCCGCTTGCAGACGTTTCGCTGAGCGACTGAGCGCAACTGTTCAGCGTGCACGTTCGTTCGTCCGCTCGCTTTCTATTGAAATGCAAAATAAGGGCACCGCTCTCAGCACGCTGCGCCTTGATGCTCGGTAAATCGCCGGAAGCTGGGAAGCTCTCTGCACTCTACCGTGGGCTTGGTGCATCGCAGAACGGCAGAGCCGTGAGAAATCCTCTTCTGCTGAGCAATGGGGTAGTGAAGCAAGTAGGTTTGTAACCCATCAGTTGTTCGTCTTCATTTTTCGCGACCGTTCGCTCTGAGCAGCGCATCCTTCCTCCCACGCACGGAAGCACACAACCGGGACTTGGCCGAACGTCTCAAGACAAGATGCCGCTGACGCTGTTCAAAAGGAGACGCTCAGTACCGAAGTACAAGTTTAGATAATGAATGCAGCGTGCCCGCCTGATTCCACGATTCAAATAGCTCTCTCTGTATTTGGTAGCTCGGACTAATTCATACCGCGGTTGCAAGGTCTGGCCATAGTTAACAAGCAAGGTGCAGAGGAGGTGATGTCATTAATAGTGATTATCGCGCACGCTGATCTTTATCACCGGACAGTGCAGATGCCCCACTCTAGATGCACGGAGCCCATCTGGGCACAGCCTCGGCATGCATTAGTCTCGTGCATTTGATGTAAGCAAGCACTTGGTAATTAAGGCTAACTCTCGGAGGACCAGGCTAAATTTGCCCCGGGGCTGTGTGGCGTTTTGTCAGCTCGTGAATCTAAAGGTCTCCTGCAGTTGTGGCATTGCGGTTATAGTCCGGCCGTTGCTACCGCCCCGCTGCTACATCTCTGCAACCTCCGGCATCATCAGCAGCAGCAGCAGGCAGCAAATTTACGCTGCAGGCAAAGCGTGCGCTGCCCGTTTAGCACTGGCCCGACTCGTTCCGCATCGTCCAACCGTTCCACGGGCCCCACGGGCGTGGAGGATGGGCAGCGCGCGAGCGCCTCGCCGGCGCGTGCCGTGCGTCTGGTCCAGAGTGACGGCGGCAGTGCGTCTCGCATTCCTCGCAGCCAGCCTGTAATTTGGAGTCTAGACGGACGGCCCGGCAGCGCATGCACGCACGCGGTTTGCTCATCTCGACAGTGGGGCCTGTCGCCCGTCTCCGCCCGCGGCGGCGGCGCCCGCCAATTAACTGGAGCCGCGCGACGACCCCCTTTTGCACGTCGGGGCCAGCGGGGCGTGTGCAGCGGCAGAAGAGACAGGAGGCGAAAGGTGCGGCCCATGTCATCGATATCTCTCGCACCGGCTGCGCGATATCTCACGCACCGGCTGCGCGAGATATCAACGTCGGGAGCCCGCCGTACCTTTGCCCCCTCTCGAGGGCATTCGTGCCGACTCTTCCGCGCTCAGTCCTCAGACGTCTTGCAAGAGACAGGAACGCCTGCACTTGACCCCCCACGCCACCACCCGCGGACCTGCCGACCGACTCTCACTGCAGTGAACCCATGCCATGGTTTCGACCGTCGCGCCGGGACATGGGAATGGAACCGGCGGACCCTCTGGATCGCGAGTGTCCAGCACCGCTGTCCGTTAATCCCACGGCAGCTCCCCCACAGCGGAGGGTTCGCCGAAGCCGCGCTCGTGTCGTCTGGGCCGCCCACCTCCTCCAGCAGCTGTCGAGGCTGCCCTGGTTACCGTCATTCGCGAAATGCGGTATACATCTTTGTGCTCTGCGAAGTGTCTGGGAGATTTGAATATATTTTTCAGGAGAGTCCTGCTGGTGATGTGAGGCTATTCGGGTGTTGTTGCGCAGAGAGCCTGGGGAAAAGCCACACAAGTACGAGTGGGAAGCACTCGGTGATCGCACGAGCAGGTCTGACATGTACCGTACTTGCTGTACTGCATTCTGACAGGCCACCGCCTCACTGGCCAGCTGCTGGGAGTCATTGACCTCGTCCTTGTGTCGCTTGTGCGCAGTTTAATTATTATTTGAAGGTGTGTGTGTGTATATTATACTGGTAGGAACCTCTTGATTACACCAGCCCACAGGGGATTATTGTGTCCGTCGTGCAGGGAGGGGCTGGGTGGGGAGGGGATGGTGGGGAGGGGCTCGGTGGGGAGGGTGGGGAGGGGAGGGTGGGGAGGGGCTGGGTGGGGAGGGGAGGGTGGGGAGGGGCTGGGTGGGGAGGGGCAGGGTGGGGAGGGGCTGGGTGGGGAGGGGCTGGTCACCCCGTGGTGCCCTTATAAAACTCAACGTTTAACCTACTCACGCCGGCTTGTGCCCGCCCTCACAGTCGGCCATATTTGCGGAATACACCACGCCGCCGTGGACGTTCCTACCAGCTCCCTCCGCAAGAATGTGTTCTATATATGTGTATGTATGTACAGAACATGGTGTGTGTACATATATGTGTGTGTGTACCGGTGCCACAGAGGTTAGCGCACTGCGCTATGCCCCTGTGACTTGAATTTCATTCCTGGCCACGGCCAACACCAGTTACGATTATCTGATCCGATCCTAGGCCTCCTCTAGGCCGACTCAGCCTTAAATGAGTATCTGGAGTGGTGTGTAAAGATCGCCATTGGGGAGACAAAGGTGGTTAGGCGAGGTGCTGCTCACTCCCCCACCCTCTTGTGCCATGCCGGCCTTCGTAGGTGCTCGCTAACAGCATTTGCCCCAGGTTTGTAACACAAAGTTCCTATACCATTTGCATACACATATGTCCTGTTGTGAGATATGCAGAGCATGTGTGGCCGTCTGGAACGTTCTTCCTTCCGATATTAAGAAGCCACCAGACCTCTGCCCTTTTAAATAATCTCGATTGAGAACTAATTTTTTTCGAACTGCTTTTGGTGTTTCGTGTTGTTGCCCTCCCCCCCCCGCCCGGGACCTCCGATTAGCACGGTTAGTTACGTACGGCGCGAAATAAGTTCAACGTACACGCTTACGTACGCACACAGCACGAGTAGTGCCTGGCCCGGCGCGCTCACAACCCTTGCACCACCCCTCCCTCTACGTGTATAAAACGCCGAGGGGATCCACGTCGACATTTGCCTTGCCTTAATTTTTTCGACTCGGTTGACCCTGAAAAAAAAACCCGCATTGCGTAACTTTTAGTCGTGGCAGTCCATCGGCAACTTGGTTCCCATGAGGTCAGCCTGTGCATTATGCCTTGGCTGCCATGCACGCACACAAACACCGAGGCAGTGTTAATAAACTTGAACTAAAATATTTTTTTTATTTTACCAGGTAAGGCCCCACTGAGTTACGTAGCTCTCTTTCTAGAAGCGGCCCGGCCGTCACAAACGATAGCTCGACGAAGTGGCTTCTCATCACGTTGAAATTTATAGTAGCAGCCATATACTCGGAATGCACGTTGATTCTAAATGTGGAGGGAAAAACCGGAGGAGCCGGAGAAAAATCCTCGTGACCTCGGGGAGAGAGAAACACGCAAACTCCAAATATACAACAGGTGTCAGGGTCGGGATGGAACCCACGACGTCCTGTATACCATGTGAGGTAGTAAACATCTCGCCACAGTTATCATGCGGCGCTGCCCAGAGGTTTCCGGAGGGGCGGGTGGCCCTTGTTCACGATCCATTTGCCCATGGCGGGGCCCTCTTTCCTGTGAGGCCTGGAGCTCTACATTGCTCCCTAGTGCTGCCCTTCCCTCTGGGCAGCACTGTTGCCATGTGTCCAGGCACACGGCTGCTGAGCCGCTCGCATTGTCGTGCTGAGCAGACCTGGACAGCAGAGGCCAACGTTGCAGCCGTCCTCTGTCGAATGTGGACCGCGGCGTGGTGTTGGCCAGGCGGCTCGGAGGGACGATAGACACCGGGTCGGACCACCAAGCCGGCACCACGGAGATCCTGAGTTCAAATGGAGCAGCTACCCACGATGAAAAACTTGTATTTTGTGTTTACTTGGAGGAGACAGCGTTGGGAAGGAGGCGAATTGTCCTAGAAACAGGATCTGCAGAGGCGCGTTCCCACGCTTTTGTTTCGCCTGCGTGCAGACGGAACCATTGGGAAATTTTCCATCAAACTGAGACATTTGCCGTCCTCCATGCACGCGTACGTATGCTCATCGGAGTTATGGGGGAAGGACAACAAACTAAGCACAAAAAGCAGTTCTCAAGAAATGTGTTTTCAATATAGATGATTTAAAAGTTAATTGCTCCAGTGGCCTTCTAATGTTGGAAGGAAGAGCGTTCCAGACGGCCGTAGAAGCGCATCTGAAAGTGCGCGATGCGGTGACCGCCTTTGTTTGATGGTTAGCCTAAAGACGATGCGCGGAAGAGCGGAGTTCGCGTGGTGGTTTCTGCTCCTTGACGAGATCAGCGAGGCGTTGCGGTTTGTTTGTGGCAAGCATGTGCGTGTGCACGCGCACTCATTTGTGTTTTTCCGACATCAAACTACTGTGGCGTAACTTTACAAGGCTATTACCCGCTTTGCTCATATATATATATGCAGGCTGTCGATATCAGGCCTTGGGCTTATTGAGTATCGTCCCTGCGACTTCTCTCCGTGGCCTAACGTCTGCGCTCTGCTCTGCCCCTCTCCGCCAGCAGGGAAAGCGGCGGCGGCAGCGGCGGCAGCGGCGGCGGCGGTGGCGGCGGCGGAGGAGCGGGGATCGACGTTCTCCCCCTACAGCCGGGAGCCCAGCAGCATCCAGTGCCACCCGGTGAGTCGCTCGCACCCCCCCCCTCCCCCCATGCATGTGTGTGCGCGTGCACATGCACGTGTGCGCGTGCGCGTGCGTGCGTGTTAACGGCAGCACCGGGGGAGACAAAGGCGGCCTGACATGTTGCTAGCCCACCCCCCCCACCTTCCTCCAGTCTGAATACTCATTCTGGTGACGATAACGGAGGGGTGTGATGCGTTGTGAACCCCGTGACTTTTGAGATGTGCTTGCCGACCGTCCACACTTTGAGTGTTAGATGATGTCATCAGAGATGATGATGTCATCAGAGATGATGATGTCATCAGAGATGATGGGACCTGGGTCGACCCGCCCGGTGGCAACGTGTGAATATCGGTGCGGGGGAGATGCCGGTGACCGGACACGTGTCGGCCGCACCACCGCACTGTGTGCCATGCAAAGCCCCAGCAAGTGTTCCCTGAGCCTCGGTTTCCTCTCGCATCGCTGAATTGCGGACTTGCGCCACCCACGCCAGCGTGTCCGACGCTTCGCTGCGATGCTGTTGGCGTTTGCAATAAAAGGTAGCGGGTTTCCCCCCCTCTCGTTAAAGAGCTGCACGTAGCTGAGCGGAAGGAGAGGGCCACTTTGGAATGTCGTTCGTTGACGTCGTTGATGAGTTGGGGGTGGAGAAAGGGGCTGCTCCCAGTGGGACTCGGAGGTCCTTCTGGGTCAAAGCCAGGAGTCAAATTATTCGTTGGGAAATTTGATCACCCACGAGGGCGGTGTCAGGGAGGGGACCCGTGCTGATCTTCACGCCGTTGCCAGGGCACAGGGCGGAGATTGGCACCGTTGGCTACGTACGGTGCGAAAGAAGTTCTACTTACGTGCGTGCTGCGTGCGGGCGTGTGTCCACACGCAAGCAGCTGCGGTGGCGAACGAAAGGCCGGCCGTAAGGTTTTGTCTACAAAATGCGTAAACTACGCGGACATTACAGCTGTGTGTCTTCTCTTGTTAGCATCTGTCGCAGATGAAATCCCCCGTTTATGCTTTGCGTGTCTAATCACAGAGCAAAGTATCGTTTTTGTAAAAGGTAAAGACACGCCAAGTTGCAGCGCTGCAATTGCTCGCTGACGCCACTGCTGGCCGTTGACCCTCTACCCCTACCTTGACCAACTCGCACTCACCAACGCGGTGAAGTATGGCCAGCGAACCGTGAGAAGGCCGTCATCCAGCAGTAGATTGACGAAAGGCTGTACACGTTAAAGGAAATTGATTGCCACGCCACTGTTGACCGCTGTAGAGGGACCATTTAGAGGGTTAGTCTTGCCCTTACTCTTTGGTTTTTTCGGTAAAGTCACGTAGGTGAAAATAAAAATAAGAATAAAAAATATAAATAAATTTCTTATTTTTATATTTCACCTACGTGACTTTACCGAAAGAACCAAAGAGTATGGATCCTTGCAGTCACGAAAACTTCAAATCTAGGATAGTTTTGGCCTTCTCTTCCACACTGGTCAGATGTCTTCAGAGGGGATAGAAACACCCACGTTTGTACCCCACCACACACATGTTGCCACCGTGACGCGCCGCACGGCCGACTGCAGCTCGGGGTTGTTTGTCAGCGTTGTGCAACTGTGGACAGCTGTGAAAAAGAGCTTCATAGCTCATCGGATTCCTCCGGCATAAATTAATTTTCTGATTCTGATAGTCCGACGTTGTGTTTTTTAGTCCTGGTATTTGTTTGGTCACTTAATTTGGTCGTACGTTTATTTTTCCCTATTTGGCTTGTTTGACTCATGTTTAGTGTCCTGTGCGATATTGAACAATATGGGGTGGAGTGGTGGCGCTGTACTTAGCGCACTGTACAGCGAATCCAGTCCTGGGTCACACACTTTTATCACCCTGCACTGACCAGCGTGGTGAAGTACGGTCAGCTTGAAATGCAATCTGAACATATCTGGGGCATTGTATTTACAGAAAAAACTTCACTCTAGACGATCTGAAAAGGTCTTGTCTGGAAACTTGGACGATGTCCTGGCTGGGGGAGGGTTGCCACTGGTGCCAAACACGGGAAGTTCAACAAGAGATGTGATAAAGGCGGGCAGCGCTGCGACATTTAAAACCGTGATTCACTTGGGACGTACACGTTGCAGGGTCAAAACAGTACTAGTATCCTTTATTTAACCAGGAGATGAACATCCTTGAACCTTTGAGACACATGGAACGTTGCATATTTTGCAAGGGCACGTTACAGTATCCGCTCTTTGCGGTGGCCGTACAAAGCACCCACAATTACGACGTCATTCGTGGTCTGCGCGAGAACGCGCTGCAATATCGCGCGCTAAATGCACCGTGTGCGTGGGGGCTGGTGGTAGCCTGGGGTGAGTGGGGGGTGGGGGGGGTGCTGGTTGGGGGTGGGGGCCTTGGGTGATCAAGCGCAGAGAGCCGCGGGGCCGCCTGCACCACAATGCGTAAGCGATACGGCTCGCCAGCCCGCCCAGCTCCCTTTCGTTTCGCGTGCCAAGCCCAGGGCTCGCTGACGCACGCACACACGCGCACACGAAAGCACACACGCGCGCGCCACCGTTGTCCACGGCGCCTCGCAGAACGTGGAATGCGTTGCGGCGGGGGTTGCCGCTAGGCTCGGGGCTCCCGGCGGCCGCCCTTTTGTGTTGCGTCGTGGGCCGCTCGCGCGGGCGACGCTCGCGTGCCTCCAGCCTCCTCGCCGTCTTTGTTTGTACCGTACTGCGGCCCATCGTGCTCCTCTCCGCGGTTGCCGACGGGCCGGAGGGTGGCGGCTCCCTGGGCAGAAGTGGGGCCACCACAGAACTGTGGCCGCAGCTTTTCCACTGGGTCCGAGAGAGTAAAAAAGTGATTTCGTGGGCAAGTGAGCCATTTTAAGGCAATTGGGTTTGCTCATTTCCCGTTTACAGCCCGGAGCCACGTGTTGGGGAAATTCCACATTCCTATGGCAGGGGGTGAGTATCCATAGGACAACCGCTGTTGACTTCCTCCCCGCAAGAGTGGTACTCATTTTATTGGTCTCCCCTCCGGAGATGATGATTGTCTGAGTCGACCCCCAGGCAGGATTTTAACTCGCAACCTCGTGAGTGCGAGCCACTCGCTCGCCCCGCCACCGATTCACCCGGCCTGACTTCCTCTACCCGCTTTGACAATCGCTTTGGCCAATGTTTAAATGTTTTTCCTTTACAGTTCTCGCAAGTCACGCTTCGACATGTGTGTGTGCCTTCACCCTCGTTCGTCAGCGTGGAGCACTTTTCCAATCCCGGGTTTTTTTGGTTTACATTACTGGATGGCTAAAGTGTGAGTATTTATGATTAATCTAGCCCTTCCCCCCCCCCCCCCCCCCATGGGGGGAGAGACTTCTTGTGGTGGATCAACCAATCGGTGCCTTTAGAGGCCTCGGTCTGTTGTCTTGCAACGGTCTGCCCTGCGCAAATGTGTCACTTTCCCGTAAGCTGCACAGCTTTGGTCACACTCGGCCGTGCTGAGTATGCCGGCACAGCCGAGTGTGACCAAATTAAGTCCCAGGTTGAGTTTGATGCATCATCGTTGTTTCTTGTGCAGCAATTACAGTATGGAGCGGGTAGAATATAGAGAGAACTATGGGTACGGCCATGGCAGTTGTGACCCCCACCTTGGCTCGAGATACTTCGAGAAAGTGATTGTTCCAGAAGGGTTTAGGTACAGGATAGAGAAGCTCTTGGGGTAGAGATCACCGCAGTGGCGAGATGTTAATTACGTGGCCTGGTACACAGGAGGTTGTGGGTTCGATCCCGACCCTGAAGCCTGCTGTATATTTGGAGTTTGCGTCTCTCTCTCTCTCCCCGTGGCTGCGTGGATTTTTCTCCGGGTCCTCCGGTTTTTCCCTCCACATTTAGAATCATGCATTTAGAGTATTTGGCCGCTCTACATTTCTACACGATAAGCCACTTCTTTGAGCTATCATTTGTGCCCAGGTCGCTTCTGAAAAAGAGCTAAATAGTTCAACGGGCATTACCTGGTAAAAAAAAAGTGTAATCGTTTAGTTTAATTGCTGTGGTTATCCCACTGCGCTATTAACCTGGCCACATGAGTTCGATTCTCGGCCACCGCTAATCTCAGTGGAAAGCGATATCGGAACAGGACTGCGCGAACCCGCAACTGACCAGCTCGGTGAGGTACAGTCACGCACAGGCCACGAATCGTCACCGCGGCATGTGCTCCGGCCATGGTCGCGTAGTTTATTATTCCGAGACGTATCTTTCGGAACGAACGCGGCGGGAATAATGTCCCCCCGCGGGAATAATGTCCCCCCGCGGGGAGCTGTTTTCGCGGCGATCGTTGGTCGAGAGGACCCCTGGCAAAGTTTTGACGTTCGCCTCCGAGGTGCGGAGCGGTCCCCCACCTGGGTGGGGCACTGAGCCCCCCCCCCCGGGAATTTTTTTGTTCCCCACCTCCGTCTCTGTGATCGTCGCTTTGTAAACTGGGGTTTCGGGACGAGAGGGGTTGAGTTGTAATAAAAACGAAACAAACATTCTCCAAAGGGCCGCAGATCCTCTCCCAACAGTTCACCTCGTCTGCTTCGTGTTCCTGCTCGAGACCCCCCCCCCCCCAAGCTCCACCATCACCCTCCTCCCCTGCTCACTCCCCCGGCCACTGTGCCTGCACTTTTTAAAATGTGGATTTACGAGCGAGAGAGTGTGGTTGTCTAGAATGCTGGCAATGTCCGTGCCCCGTGGGGGTGGGGGGGCGTGATGCGGTCGGGTCGGGTGGTGGTGGTGGTGGTGGGAGTAGGGTGGTGGTGGTGGGAGTAGGGTGGTGGTGGTGGGAGTAGGGTGGTGGTGGTGGTGGGAGTAGGGTGGTGGTGGTGGTGGTGGGAGTAGGGTGGTGGTGGTGGGAGTTAAGTGGTGGTGGTGGGAGTTGGGTGTTGGTGGTTGTGGGAGTAGGGTGGTGGTGGTGGGAGTAGGGTGGTGGTGGGAGTAGGGTGGTGGTGGTGGTGGGAGTAGAGTGCTGGTGGTGGTGGTGGTAAAGTCTGCGC